CACGGCGTGTGCACGAGGTACCTCCATAAGTTCACATTAGTTGATATCAGATCACTTTGTTGGGGCCTAGCGCCATTGCTGCTTACTTTCCGCGACAACGGCACATCTGCGATACACTTGGACTACTCTATCCTACCTACGAAATAGTGTGTTGCACACAACGTCATCTGGAGTTGTTGCTTTGATGGAGTGCTCCGACTCTGTGGTCAGGTAGTGTTATGAAGAAGAACGGACAAGGCAACTGCTAGAACAAGCCGAGTAAGAAAGGTAGATGCTACCCACCCTTCTACTATTTTGATCGCCAACTGATACCAATTGATGGAATATACCTTGTGGGCAGGGTCAACCCTATGTTGGGACAAGTAACAACGGGGGGTCGTACTCAGTTGAGCTTGGAGGGGGGTCGTACTCTCTCGGTGGCCGACAGTGGGATTCTTGGTAATATCGGATAATAGCCAGCACGTTACGTTTTCGTAAGATGACTGATACTAGAGCATCTATAAACCGCTAAATGAGCTTTCAAATGAATCAGCGAATTAGAAGGGCGCCCGAGGCGTGGCGCGCACCAAGGCAAGGGATCAGTGCAAGCGCATGCTCGAAGCTTTCTAGCACATCCTATGTTCAACATGAAATTGCTTTTCCTGGAAGTTACGGGCAGTGAAACCTAAAAAAAACCCGCGTTTTCAAGAAAATGGCTTGAAGAATGCCCCTCCAAAAAAGTAGCAACGGGACTAATTTTTGAACTGCTGACTTTTCAGGAACGTTTGGGTACTTTTTAGAAAGCTTGAATCCTGTAGTTTGTCATACCGTGTTCAGCTTCCCAAATAAATGAGTTTGAAGGAAGTTATGATCGTTTGAAGGTTGAAAAGTCGCGGTTTCAGAAAAATAGTTCCGCAAACCCCCAAAAAAGTAACAACGGGACTAACTTCTGACTTTTTAAGAACGTTCGGGTACTTTTAGGAGTGAAAGTCTGAATCCTGTAGTTCAGCTTCCTAATTCAATGAGTTTGAAGGAAGTTATGATCGTTTGAAGGTTAAAAAGTCGCACTTTGCACAGAAAAAAGTTCCAACGTGCTAAATTTTTATTAAATTAACTTTCGAAGAATTTTAGACATGATTGGAGAGAGAATAATTTGAATTTTTCAAATCAAATCACTTCGGCGCAAAAGCTTGAATATGAAGGAAGTTATAGCCCTAGAAAGAGGAAGGTAAAAATTGTAGTGCAATTTTATTTCTTGCTTAATAACTTATTCATTTCAAATTGTTTGAGAACAAATGAGCTTTACTTAGAAAGGCTGAGCCTCAGCGATCCAAAATCCACCTCCATCTTCCGAAGTACCTGAAATTTAACTAAGAAAAATTCGTCTACATTTCAATATCCCCCCGTTCGTCACCTATTTCTGATCAGCAAACGCGCTCCATCGCCAGGCGCGATTCAACATATTCAAATGCTTTCTCTAGTTTTCATATTATTGCACCTAAATTGCCCATGAAGGGGTGGGGTCGTAAAAATAATTCCAAAAGTACCAACGACAGGGTTGACCCTGTTTGCTGGGTAACCCTTGCCACTGCACTGAATTCTCTCATTTGTTTATATTAAATGATGATCATAGTGCGGCGGAGTTGCGATGGACAAAAGCCACCCCATTAGAAATAAAGTAACTGGTAGATGTGGTCAGTGGTGCAAGGATGGAGGAAAAGCCATGAGAAACGGCCCAAAAATCGAGAATGGGACCCCTTCTTTGCCCGTTGATTTCTGCATTGATGGGACTCTTGTCGATGCTGCCCTAACGCTCTCTTTGCTGAACGCTACAGTCAGACGGCGAGAGGCTGGGCGGACAGCGACGCGAGCGGGAAGAGTATGGTCTGTTAGACCGGAGAGGATCATAGCGATCACTGCAAAACGCGTATATTCCCGCACCCCTTTCTCCGATCTAAGACCTTGTCATAGAATCCTTCTTTGATATCATGATCTGGTCGAAATCGAGATCGACCTCGATTCAGCTAGCTTATGCCCCGTGTTTCTATTTGAGAGCGTATAAAATAACAGACTGTCAACAAGGGAATCAGAAGATCCCTTGGCAAGGTCTGCCGCAAGTCGGTTCATAGACTACTTGAACTTTCTTGGTGGTCCTGCCGTGGAATGGCTAGGGCACTGACAATTGGAGAACGGCGCCGACCGCCCATTCTCACGTTGCCACACGGGAGATACGTGAACCAGGGGGGAGGGCAATCTAGGGGGGTGAGTGGGGTGCGTGAGGCAATCACAGTGTGGCAAAATCGAATGTGTGAGATCAGCGAGAGAGCGCAGGTGTTAAGTATCAAGTTGAGGCGGTTTGAAGGACCACGTTCAAGTAGTCCGCAAACGGCCACAAGTTATAAGGCAGCTGATGGCTGTTCAGTAAACTCCCTTTGTGTAAGAACCGGGTTCAAGGGAAGTAAGTGAAAAAATGGTGCCTGTGGATGTTTATTACGGACTGTAATTGAAAATGCTGTATTTTGAGATAGAAATCTTCATTCGCTACGAACTGGTTTATGCACGACACCCAGAGAGGGCGATATGAGCGGACGAGGTTCGTCCACACGACGACACAGCAGCATGGGGAGAAGGCAGCGGCGATGCTGTAGAGCAACCAAGCGAGGTATTGTGAAGTGAAGTCGCACTGAATAGAATAGGCATTGATTGGATTGACCAGTGAAATCACCTCATATGGTTGCCGTACGCTTTCTGCCGCTTAGAACTTGTGATGGGGTCGTGCAGTGTAGAAAACGAAGGCTGATAGAGCCGTGGCCAGAAGGATTCCCAGGCCGATGAAAGCAGCGAACGAGAGAGGAGACAGGCACACGGTGGAGTCGAAGCGGTCGTTGCTGACGAGCGCAGCTGGTGCGATGGCTCGAAGTGCTGATGGCAGCGAGTCCTGAAGAAGTACTTTCATAGTGATCAAATAAAGGACCTGCAGAAAATGTGTTCAACTTACGTTGTCAGTGATCTCAATTGCTGAGATCTCAGCTCGAACATCCAGAATTGCCTCATTGTTGACTGCTCTCTTTCTTAGCAGTCTCAACTGTGCAGCTCCGGCAGCAATTCCAGCTGCAGCTCCTCTGGTTGCCCCAACGGCTCCTGCAGCTCCACCAGCTGCACCACCGGCAGCTCCACCTGCGGCTCCTCCAGCTGCTCCAGCAGCTTCCACTGCTCCGTCCCTTGCTTCCACTGCTCCGGCTGGTCCTGCAGCAGCACCAGCAGCAACTGCTTCAGTTTTAGGGGTTCCCTGCTTGACGGCTCCGAAACCAGTGGGCTCAGCGCACGATGGACGAGGGCACTCACTTCCGGGGTCCTAAATTTATGCAATTCAGACCATGTCTGGATATTTATCTTCAAAGAGTTGGTACCGTTGATTGAAATACTGATCTGGCACTGGTAGAACAACTGTGATCTGAAAATGGTGTATAGAAAACCCGGTATTATCATCGTAGGGGGGGGGGGCTAAACTCTTTGAGCTGATAATATAGTGTGAAGTGACCTGTCTGCGTATTTGTAGACGTGAGCCTCTTGGCCTGCCATCAGATCGCTAGGATACTCGAGATTGTTCAGGAGAACTTGTCAAGGGCGCATCCGTCCTCGTTCAGGATCTGTACCGTATCACCGTTTCCATCATCAACAGTGCAGGTGTGGACGACGGCGCAGAAGGTGTCGGTGGTCTCGGAATCACAAGTCCACTTGTGGTACACCTAAAAGGAATCGAGTTGAATGCAAAAGACGATCTTTCAAGCGCTGTCTCCCAACCTGTTGACCGATGGTGGCGAACTGAATGGGCTGTCCGGATGGTCCTCCATCGAGAATCTCGTAACGACAGATGGGCATTGGTACAACCTGTGTCTGGAAGGCGGTGGTCAGGTCAGAGACCTCGATTTGGGTGCTGACGCGGTCTTGTCAGACTCCATGTAGAAGCATTGGATTTCTGTATGCTCGATCGACCTTTGTCACGAATTGTGGATGGAAAGAGATGACAACGGTAGTCGAGACGAAGACTCCACGAGGATTGAGGGATCTAAACAACACGAATTGATACGAGCTCAAAAGAATTCTGTTTGACTGTGAAGTTCACCTGGTTCTGGCAGTATTGCAAGAATCGAACGGCAACTCGATTCCAGCCACCTGTCGACCTCCTTCATCGTTTCGGCACTCTTTCTGATCATAAAGACCCTTGACGTAGACGTGTCCTTCGAATGGGTTTCTGGTGTTGAAGTTGACAGTTATGGCTGTGGGCCCACACTCCACTTCGGGTTCACCTTCAACCCCGTTGTCGACAGGAATACAGTAGACAGTACCCACAAGCACGCGAAGCGTGAGCTTCCTCTGGCAAAACTGATTCTCAGGTATCTCCAAGCGCAGCGAAGTAGGACCAGAGCAGGTAGCGCTAAATCATTTGATCGGACGAAAGTGGAACAAATATAAAGATAAACATAAACATGTAACGTCTATAAATACAAAAGGTGAACTGAATATCACCCTAATTGACTAATATTTATTGTGAATACATCAGACTGTAAATGACTGTCACTGTGGTACCCCGTAAGGAGGCTGTAAACTTTTTATTGGATGTAAGGAAGGAAGCGATCGTCGGTGCTGCTACCCATGCCGATCGGGAGCTTTATACTGAGAAAAGGCAATAAATCATGTGTGCTGAACTAGCTGGAAAAGATTGGGTGAGAAAGTGGATGTGATGGTCATGGATGAGAGAGCGGGAGAGATCTGGAGAAACTCTCCTTAAACGCCTGCATTCCCGACGACAAATCCAGTCTAAGCAACTGGTAAGCGCCGATTTGGTCATGATGGGAGCGGCTCGTAATGCGGTAATTCTGTAACATCTGACAATGGCGACGTTTAGCTGTCAGGCCTAATTACCGAAAGAGTTCATCAACGGAAACATCCCCATCTTGGGTTTGGTGCCAGCCCACTCGCTTGCGCCTGCTTTTGAAGACGGTTTCTTGCTTCCAGGTAAAGTATACGGTATTCCTATTTCTGTATGAAAGTTCTGCTTTTCCGCAGTACCCAGATTTTTCAGTTCACTTACCCAGATAATCGTTCACCAGCTTGGAGAAATGTATGGCTACTATGGTTTGAATAAGCTCCCTTATTAAAAAGGTATGTGCTAGGAGAACCAGGCGCGTATTTCGCACCGACAAAATGCCTAGCAATGAAGCCGGACCCTTGGACACAGCTCAAATTTCCACCTCTCTCTTCTCTCTGACTTGATACAACAACACCCCCAGATCAATTGGTGGGATAACGGTGGTCGATAATGAAGCTGCGGATGCCGAGTTGGCTGAAAAAGAAAAGGAACCCACCAGACTGCCGGTGGGGCCCTCAAACAAGGACTCCCATTCTTTCTCTTGAAATGAGGGATGGGTGTGTCCGGACGAGTTGGCTAACTTGCTTGCCCCATGACTTCACTAACCGCGCGCATTCGAATTAGTCGTCACGTCATAATCCACGCTGAGCTGTGCGCGAGGTATCTCGTCTATTAGTTCGCATTAACCCTCATTAGCTCACTTTGTGAAGACTCTAGCGTCACCGTCTGTCCTTTCGAGCCGGCTACTCTATCCTGCCCACAAAATGGAGGTTTCCACACCACCTCATCTGTAGTTGTTGTTCTTGTTCCTATCGTATTCGATTTTACGGATGTTGACCTTCATTCGGTAGACTTTGGTGACAGGGCAAGCTTTGGGTAGACGTATATTTTGCTATGGCCGCTCAAATTCGAGTGCAGGAGCAAGTGAACAGATTTGGTAATGGCTTTAGCTCATTCTCATGAACATTCGGACGATACTTCAGACACATACAGACATACTTCAGACACTTTTTGAGCCTTGATTCTTGCCTCCCAGTGTGTCCTTGGCTATCTGAGCAGGCAAAAACTTTGCCTCGCGGGTTTAACAGGGATATTGCTGAACACATCATGCCTGGAAATTTGTTACATAAGTGGCGCAAGTAAAACAGAAAAAAAAGAAAGTTTCTCAAAACTGAACAACTTGGAGCCTCTAGGAAGAGTATCGCTGTTGAATACTTCTGGAAGTCATTCTAATTTTCAGTCATTCTAATTCTGCGAATTTTCCAAGAAATCGCTAATGTATTACTCAAACATTCCAGTACATGCTGTTAGGAAAAGGCACATTACCTTAGGTAAACAGGTCGACCCGGTCAATAGAATTGTGGTACGATTGCGCTTTTCTTGGCTACTGAGCTGACAACCGTTTTCTATATTCACTGGATGATTCTCTGAAGGCCACATGAAAATTCCACAAGAATAGTCATGGGCAAGTCTTACGCGTACCAGGCGAAATTCTCGGTCTGGGTTTTGCCACTCTGGAGGCCACTATTTAGGACCATTTATTGACTTTGGATGGTATATTCCATCTAGCTTAGACACTACACAACCCTAGGTGATGAGGACCGGTTTACGTTCGACATCTGCAGTTTGACACGCGCGACTGATGCGGGGGTTGGCGCGGTATCTTGTATGCTATCCATCATCGAATAGTACCTTCCCCTTCAAAAAGCGAGAAAGTGTCGGGTGCAGACCATGCACCACAAGTGACGACGGCCTTCAAAAATGTAATGTTTTCTGCCAATGAAATGATTAGCCTGTTGCAGTTGTATTCTATCGATTGTCACTAATTACAACTATCATTTACCAGAAATCAGCTATCACTATGAACAACTTAAACCAGATTTGCTTGAGGGTCCGTGTGGTGTTGGTCTGCACCCGACACTTTCCCGCTTTTTGAAGAGGAGGCTACTTTATTTCTATTGAACTCAACACAAGTTCGTTAGAGAACTTTATCGGCTAACTTTTCAGTGGGATCGGCTTCGTAAGGGGCCGGAAAACTGAGTCTTCTTCACAATCAGACCAAAGGTCGCAGCCACCCTCGGAAATCAAACACTAAGCAGCCGCAAAAAGGACCACTTACCGTAACATTAGATAGGCCACAAGTCGGCAGTACTATCAGTACTATTCATGTACTGCCGATATACATATACTGCCGAATTTTACACGAAGCTGTATATGGCAACTAACTGAAGGCGTCCTCAATTGTTCGCCTACTTTTCCTCCTGCTATGTGTAGACAAACGTCGATGGAGTAATCATTTCAAAATTCCTTTTATCTTCTATTCCACTTCGTGTACGTCTTCCAGGGCGTGCTCAAAATTGCTTGTGTTCTCGATCCACGGCCTAATGTTTCAGTGGTTTCTACGGACATTAGTACCAGGTTCAAGTGAGGCGTCGAGGAAAATTTTGGTTGGCCCCCACTCCAGAGGCAGAAATATTTTTTCCTTCTCAACAAGTGTAAAGCTGTTTGGCGAATCTCAACTTTGTTATTGGAAATCCTCTGGCCTTCCATGGCATGATTCGATCCTTGATGTTTGTCCTCCGACGTGATGATCCTACTGCATCAATCCGGCCCGATCTCTCCCAGCGGGCCAATACGACCCCCCCCCTGCCGACGTGTCGAGGATTCCTCAACGCACGCTTGACCCTTTAGCACCCTCACTTTCGCTTCTTGTCTTCAAGCCTTACATATGTGTTGCCGTGGGATGAGCCGTTGAGTTTACAGAAACCTTTTTGAAATCCAGGAATCTTTTCGATGGTCACTTGAGGTCAACTATTCGATATTTATAACCGTATAATTACTTTTTGAGAATCGCGGTGCTGATCCTTGAATTGAGCTCTATTGGTTAAATTATGAGCCTTTCATCCTAAAGGAATGGATGTTTACAGATCTATCGTCTTACTCGTTTTCTTCATATACAATGGCTAATGTCACCACAACAGGCTGTGATTTTCGCTTTTTGTTCACCAGCACAACGTCAGCAGACAAATGGCTTTTCCAAGTGAGTATACATATTTGACGACCATTTGTGATGGATTGAGTCCATTTGCTCCAAATTCCCTTGAAGCACCGGTTTCATTCCGTATCTTGAATTGCCTTCATTTTTCCAGCTAACTATACTCATCGCGGCGATCGAGAACACGTTCTTCAGCAACTAGAAATGTGATGACACCAACTTGTCTCGCCCGCTATGGACTATTTACGACCATTTTCTTTACCCCACTCCTTCTATATAGGCAGGCAAAGATTTGCTCAAGATCATATTATTTCGGAAGGAGGATTAAGAAAGTCCAGCAAAGGAAAGGAGATCGATGATCTGCAATCCAATGACAGTCAATGCCAAACGTGGAAACAAGGGACTTTTAATAAATGACCGACACCTCACTAGCACGCTCCATACTGTGACTCAGGCCGCTAAACAGCCCTCTTTGTAGATATTGATTCAAGAATTCAGAAGATGTGACTTTGATATAAATGAAAGTTCAGAGCACCTGAAAAAATTTCAAGTCACTGACTTATAAAATTATAACGTGTCAAAGGATTTGCAACAACCACTGAAAGTGATCGAGCTCGCCGTTTTGAAACATTCACATTCAAAGGGTTAGACGAAAAAAGGAGGCAAAATGGCCACCACATAACTTGAGCTTCAACGGCCGCTCGCAGTGGTCAGAATTTTGTGAAATCTCGGAAGAAAGCTTGTCGCCTAGATCCAAAGACCTTCCCCATCAGTGTAAATCCCAAACCAAGCGCCTTCGGCCTACATCTTGTTGAGACCTATGCACGCGCTTGTTGGTGCATATTTTCGATCCCAAACCTGCCATCAACTGTACTGCATAATGTTCACCAGTTAAAGACATTGATAAAAAATCGAAAGAAAAATTTTTGGAGCACTATGATTAATTACCAAGGTAGCGATTACATTATAATGTATCAAAAAGGAGCCGTGGTAGCTCCGGCACGCCTGTCGGCGAAACCAAAACGAGAAACTCCGCAACGGTCAGTCAACGCAGAGCCCCCTTTTGATCGTTGATTTGCTCAACGAACAGGTACACCTCAAAAAGCGGACCGCAACGCGTTGTGTAGCACATGCCAAATCACGCTCTAATCGAGATGCTCCAGTTGTGCCGCTGCTGGCAACGCAGCTCGTCCAAATCACCAAGTAAACTAGTGGGCGGATCGCTTTTGGGGGCGGAGTGCTTTCGAAGTCCTGCTCAGCAACCAGCGCACCTTTCGTCGTGAAGCGCCACACCTTGCTTCCTGACAGCCAAGTAAATGACTTGATTGGTGCATATGCTTCCCCGATGCAATTACTCTTTACTGTGATCGCTGCCTTTAAGTTTATAACCAAATATGGCAAAGTTGCGCTCGAGTCATTAACTGTAAATTTGGAAAAGCTCTGATTAAGAAACTCTATACCTCTTCCATGACTGAGAAACTCAATGTACCTAGGTTTATAGCACGCATGCATTCAAGAAAGATTTGGTGCGTAATATACCCTTTACGCGTGATCTCAGGTTTGCCCTTCC